AACATATCATTAACCAATTTAATGCCAAGGTTTGGAGTAAAGGTGCAGGGAAAGAGGGAGGGGCAGTGATGGCAGTGGCAGGGTAGCCTGGTTTGCTTCATGTTTTGGGAAGAGTTTTGGGATTCTGAAGGAAGGATTTGGGAACATTAACTTCATATTTAAGCATGGATTTCATATCAATGAGTGCAATATTTATTTAGATTTCTATGCTGAAGAGAGTTCCACTGTAAATAGAAGCCAGTATAAAAAGTGGGAAGGAGAAATATCTAACTTAGGTACGTACACAGAGAAAGAATATTGAATAGAATTAGTTGAGAACTTACAGTATTAATGAAACCACTATTACAATCTCATTAAAAGCCAACTGAGAAATCATTTTATAGTATCTTTGTGTGTATAGCTTCTCGCCACTTAACTACACTTATAGAGCATCCACTTGGGTTTGGTTTTTACGCATTTCTTCACAAGTCCCCCTTTCTAAGAAGAAGAAAATAAAGTTTTCATTAAAAATTCTACTGAGGAAGGAAAGTAGTTTAAATTCCTAAGGTAGAATGCTCAATACATCAATTTTGCAAACTTCCAGAATTTATTTGAATGGCCTCACTTTACATCAAACTCCTTGTTCTCTGCCTACACAAGGAGCATTCTCCCTAAATACCTTTTGAGCATTGATAAGTTTGGTGCTAGCAGGGCTTATGAGGCAAGGTGACGCAGCAGGATCCACTGGGGCAGCCGATCCTGTTGTCAAACTTTCTTCCCCTCCTTGTTTCTGATGTAGAGCTTCGTTCACCCCTTCTTCCCTGTCGGGGAGGGGCTGTACCATTTTGGGGTTTGCCTCAGGAGATTCCAACTTGGCAGGTGGTGGACTCTTCTTCCTTGGAGGTTTTTAAGCAGGGGTTGGATGGCCATCTTGTCATGGATGTTTAGCTGAGATTCCTGCATTACAGGTAGTTGGACTTCCAAATCTACAATCCTGTGATTCTACATGCATCTCTTACATATTGTGCTTCTGTAGAGAAGAAGTGGCAACATTTATGAGTTTTCAGAATTTTGACCAGCATGTGAGATTTGTTAAGTAGCCTAACAATTCAGTAATGGTTTGGGTTCTATGTTTATAAGCAGTGATACAAACCTTTTCTTGTTGTACTATGAAATCCCCTTGCCCTGCTACTTTCCCCAAGGGAAAACCCGGTCTTTACCGTTGAATCAGAGCAAATGTCAATCAGGTTTTCTTTGGATTGACGTTTACTCTGATTCAGTGCTAAAGAATGGGTTTTCTGGGGGGAAGTGGTGGAGCAAAGGATCAACTGCTCAGACCTGCACATAGAAAGCATGAGACTAGTAGAAAAATGGATGAGCCTTCAGTGAGAGTCAAGCTCTATTGACCTGTTGTACCTGTGCAGAGCAGGGGACATGGGTGGCACTGTGGTGTAAACCACTGAGCCTTGGGCTTGCCAATTGGAAGGTTGGAGATTTGAATCCCCGCGATGGGGAGAGCTCCCGTTGTTTGGTCCCCTCCTGCCAACCTAGCAGTTCGAAAGCACCTCAAAGTGCAAGTATATAAATAGGTTCCGCTCTGGTGGGAAGGTAAACGGCATTTCCATGCGCTGCTCTGGTTTCTCCAGAAGCGGCTTAGTCCTGCTGGCCACATGACCCGGAAAAACTGTCTGCGGACAAATATCGGCTCCCTCGGCCTGTAGAGCGATGAGCGTCGCAACCCCAGAGTCGTTCACGACTGGACTTAACTGTCCGGGGTCCTTTACCTTTACCTTTTTTTTACCTGTGCAGAGCCTCTGCATGGTGCAGTTCAGGATCTTGCCTGTTCATTAAGCTAGGGTGGGCTTCAGCCTGGTAAGCTGTTACACACACTGGCTATGGAGGCGGCTTCTCCATCCTTCCTACTTCCTGCATGCAGCTTCCTGAGCAGAGAGAAAGGAGAAAGGAATCAATGCAAGTTCTTAACTAGATCATACATGACAAATCACCATCCAGCCTCTGCTGGAGGAGTCTCGTGCTCTTGCAGTCAGAAAGTTCTCTCTGATGTTTAGTTGGAATCTCCTTTCTTGTAACTTGAAGTCACTGGTTCGGGTCCTACCCTCCAGAGCAGGAACAAATCATCTCTAGGGATGAGGGTGAAAATGTTTGTGCTTGTTCAAATGGGGGATAGGTAGAACTGGAAACTGAGAGTGCAGGGGGACATGATATCAGTTCAGGAAGGCTGAAGTACCATAGGGTCAAGCACATGCATCAAAGACATTTGGAGAGAGACACCATATATAAATGTTTATAAACTGATCCTAGAAGCCTCTGATCCAAGATGGGTGAACTGGAGTGCTTGGCTTTAAAAGATGGAATAGATATAGAGGGTATATAGTGGAATGGAGAGAACCAGTGAGACATGGTTCTCTCCAGATAAAAGCTCCCTAGGAAGGGCAGGGAAGGGCCTACTGGAGGATATAGAACCTAGAAGGATTCTTTCTCGTCCGCAGACTTGCTGTGGGTGGTGCTGGTGGGCCACAGAAGTAGTTTAGTATGGACAACATACTGTATCATCCTCCTGACAAAAATGTCCAGGGTGAAATGGGAATTGACTTCAATGGCTGTCCCATATACTGGTGTGTTTAAGTCTCAAAGAAGCAAAATGTCTAAATACCCTGTGTGACTGTGCTCTGGAACGATTGGATTTAATCTTAAGTGTCACCCAGGATCTGGTGCAAGATGTAAATGATGAACTGATTGAGAGCAGTGAAGATAATGCTATGAAATCCAAGATACATGTAAGAGGACAATTGCCAAGAAAATGTAACAGTCATATTTGACTTCAAAAGAGGAAAGTGAAGAGGGTCATATCTCTTTATAGAGATTGTCCAAAGCCACAATAAAAGAAGTTCAGCTAGCATGTATATGGCAGATCAAGAAAGGTGCTGCCAGGACCAAGAGGGTGCCAGCTTGATTAATGAGTACAGTCAAAGGAGCTGTTGGAGGCAAGAAGTCTTCTTTGATAATATGGAAGTCTTTTCCAAAAAAGAACACAAACTGTGGCAAAAGAAACAAGCAGCAATAAGGGATTTGAAAACCAACCAACCAACCAAAACCAAGCAAGAGAGGTGGCTGGATCTTTGGATGAGAAAGGGCGTCAAAGGTGTGCTAAAGAAGGAAAGCGAGATGAGTGCTGCAACCCCAGAGTTGTCCGTGACTGGACTTAACTGTCAGGAGTCCGTTACCTTTTTAGAGGAGGAAAAGGAGGTTGCAAAGGAGCTGATTGAATTTTTTATATGCATTCTCACAATAGAAGACGCAGGGCAGGTCCCTGCACCTGAGGAACTGAGGCAAGGAGTGGTGATAAGAGATGAAGTTAGTGGCCTAATTTCAAACTGACAATCACTGGGTCCAGATAGTACCCACTAAAGAAAGCTATGTTAAATTGCCGATCTTCCAACAAAAAAGTAACTTATCCATAAGATCAGCCTATATATATATATATATATATATATATGTACTAAAAAGTAACCAATGTAGGGCAAATTTTTTTAAAGGACTTCAGATTGGATCTAGGAAATTGCAGTCTGGTTAGCTTAATTTCTGTTCCAGGAAAACCAGTGAGAAGCATTATTAAAGACTTAGTCTTTCAAAAAGCTTTTGACAAAATACCTCACCAAAGACTCAGAGTAAGCTTAGCAGTCATGGTTAGCTGGTTAAGGAACAGGAAGCAGCAAGTAGGAATAAAAGTGCAGTTCTTCCAATGGAAGGATGTAGAAAATGAAGTCCCCTAAGGATCAGTATTGAGACATGTGCTTTTTAACTTGTTCATTACTTGTCTACAGTTAAGGGTGAAAAGTGAGGTGTCCAGGCTTGCTGATGACACCAAATTGTTAAAGGTGGTTAAAGAAAAAGCACTTATTAGAAGGTCTAAAAGGATCTCCCCAAATTGGGTGTGTGGGCTTTAAAATGGAAAATTCAAACCCATGTAAGCAAGGATAAAGTGATCCTAATTTCACTTATACCCTCCTGGGGTCTCAACTGGCAGTGACTGAACTTTAGGTTGTAGTTGATGAGGATGTTGATCCTGCTGCAGAAATGGAGAATTCCATGTTAGGGATTATTACGAAAGAGATTGAAAATTAAACTGCCAATGTCATGGTGTCATTATGCTAATCTGTGGCGGGACCACACTTGGAATAGTGTGCAGTGCTGCTTGGCTCCCCTCAAACATTTGGGTCTTTCTAGTTTGGAAAAAAGTGAGTAAAATGAGGGACAAGCTCTAGGCCTATAAAATTATGCATTGTTGTGTATGGAGAAAGTCGACAGGGACCATCTCTCTCCCTCCCTCTCTCTCTCTCTCTCCCTCCCTCCCTCTCGTAATACTGCAACCCAGGGCCATCCAATGAAGCTGAAAGTTGGAAGATTCAGGATTAGAGAAAGTACACAGTGCATAAAGTATAAGTACTGTAAATAAATAGGAATTATGAAATTTCCTCCTGCAACCAACGTGACCACCAGCCTGCATGACTTTAGAAGAGGATTAAACAAGTTCCTGGAGGATAAGGCTATGAATGACTTCTGGTCATGATGCTTATGTTGTACCTCAACTGTCAGAGGCAGTATTGCTTTGAATATCAGTGGCTGGGCCTCCCAAGCAAGGAGAGCGCCTTCTCACCCTGTTCTTGCTTGTGGATTTCCCATAGGAATCTAGTTGGCCACTGTAAGAGCAGGATCCCGGATTAGACGGGCCTTTGGCTTGATCCAGCAGAGTTCTTACGTTCACATGCAACATTCTTGTGCTCATGTAAGCGATTTACTTATGTATAAGGAAAATGACACAAGTATATGACACATGTAGGGTTATTGTGACGGGTGAAAGAGTCTGTAGTTCACTCCTTGCACCAGTTCCAGGTTAAAGCTAAAAGTTCTTTGGTACTTGCAGTAAAATAAAATAAAATTAATACTACATTGTTCAGTCATGCTAACAACACTTTTATTTTATGATTTGCTGTTTCCAGGGCACAGACAGAAGCTTGATGACTCTAAACCTAGTTTGTTCTCTGAGCGCCTCAGTGATTTAGGGCGCATTCCTCATCCCAGTATGAGAGTAGGGGTCCCGACTCAGAGCCCACGGCCCTCTCTGAACTCTGCACCAAGCCCTTTTAATCCACAAGGACAGAGTCAGATTACAGGTAAGAGACAGAACCATGGGCTTGTATGGGCCATGGGAATGATTGATTATAGTAGGCCTTTTATTGTTTCAAAATGTAGAAAAATAACTGTTGCAAAGTGAGCGGTATAAGCAAATGTAAGCTAGTGGGGAATAGAATTTTCTGTGGCATTCATGACAAAATCATTTAGTCTTCTTTCTTGTTTGCAGTCAAAATTGGGGGTGGGATGAAATGGAGAGGAAATTCTCATCTTTCCGGTCTCATTCATGGAATTGGTCTACACGCAACGATAAAAATATGTAAATTTTCCAACTATACATGTTTATTTAGGATTGCTCTTTAGGATAGTTTGCACAGCATTGTCATTCTGCGCCCCCCCCCCTTTACCACGTTTATTATGTGATATTGTGGCTTCTCTCTAGCATCCATAGCTATGCATCACTGTTTCAGTAAACTATGAACCAGGTCACTTTGAGAGATGCATACATTTTATTTTCAAGCCAAGAGATTGCTTTCACTATTCAAAACAGAATGTGTGTAGGGAAAGCAGAGAAAATCTAAAGCGCTGAGGTCCATATAAAAAGAAACAGCAGCAAACCTAGGCCAATTGTTACCACACACACACACACACTTGGGTGAACTTCTCTTTGTTTATATACAATTTTATTCTAAAGATCCCAATAAAAAGTGGAAAGCCATTTTGTGGGTGTGGGGTGGGGAGTGGGAAATGTTAATGAAATGCAGCCCTTTTTTCAATGCAAACCCCAATTTTGTTTTATCCTTTAAAAAAAGAAGGCTGAGTCTATACAGGCATGTCTTTATTTCAGGCCCATTTACACATACGACTAGGGACATGAGTTTTTAACTGCTTCAAGCCACATTGAATGGTGCAAAGGCACTGGAAGTGCAGCCAGGCAGGCAGGCAATAGGGAAGTAAGTTTTTTAAATTAGTAAATAAAGTGATGTGATCCTAAATTGTTGTGGTACATGTCTGAAGATCTGGATTCTGTGGTTGGAGTTCATCCTCTGGCTCCTTCCCACTTAGTTGTTGCCCAGCAGGGAGGCTAATGGCTGAGGAGACCAGAGCCATCTCCTTGGCCCTGCCCATTGGAGTCTCCTGTTCATATCACAGAAAGGTGGGGTTTCGCCATGAGGAGGTGGCCCTCGTTCTGCACTGACTTTGTTCGATTGTTATATAATACTAGACCAGTGACTGAGAACAAGTTTTCTTCCTGATTCCATATGGTGATCATTTTATGTTGTCACACGGATGGATCCTAGATTCTCCTGTAACTTTTGAAATGTCACATACTCCTCTTGTTCACATAAATGCTTTCCATAGAACAATCTGCTGCTGGCTTATGATTAAAAACATACCACTTTTTGTTCTGAGTCAAGAGCAGCACATTAAAAGCCTATAAATGGTAGATGCTGTTCAAATTAATGAGGGTATTGAATACTCTAGAGAATGTTAGGAGTTCACAGTTCACTCTATGTAGCTAAAGAGGCAGCAGTGGAAATATTACAATATCTCTTCTAAATAAGTGTAAGTCTGCAGATGATAAGCGGTAGCACTGCTTGGCAGAACACAGCAATTTATACTTAGAAGAACATACATTCCCTGCCAAACATTTGAAATGTGCTTTGCCTTTTTTGATAGTGATTATTTCTGCCATGCTTGAAAGTTTGCATTGAGCTACACAACTGCATATTTCTGATGCTGCAATTTGTGCCCAAACCAAGTGTACTTTTGCCACCTACTATAATCCAAAGCCTTCTGTGCTGAAATATCACTGGAAGAAGTATTCAGGAAGAAAGACACATTAGCACAAAGAGGTCTGTAAATCAGAAATCAAGTGCTGCACCAAACATCCAGTACAACTTGCATAAAGTAGTATTTAATGCTTTGATTTATAGTAAAAATTGTGGGCAGGTTTCATCTAATGAATCCTGTCAGTGGAAGCCCCTCCACTTTACGGCTGCCATATTTCAAAAAGTATGAACCAGGACACCCTGGAAGTTGTTGATCCTGCAGGGAGAGGAGGAGTGAGAAAGGCCCCGGGCTCAGGCAGAAGCCCATATGCACACCGTTTCTGCTAATGGGATTCTTTGAGTGAATCTCGCCCGTTGTGCCCACTGGGAGTAGTGGTGAACATGCAGAGTTTTATAGTAGAAGGTCTTCAGCTATAGAGTTCTACCAGCTCTAATCTTCATAATGTGCAATCAGTCAAGCATTTAGTTTGGCAGTAAAAATACTTTCCTCTGAGTGTCAGAGGTAGCTCTGCACAGGGAGGAGTATCATGCCCAGGTAGTATTCTGGCATACCACAAAAAAACATGCTGTGCTGAGAAATTACTCCAGAATCAGAATACTGTAATCAGAACTTTGATATTAGTTATGTTTATTGATTTTGCATTATGTCTTTATTATATAGCACTTCTCGACAGGTTCCTCCTCCTGGAGGCTTCCTTGCTAAAATAGACACAAGGAAACAACACGAGGAGAGGGAAATTTGATTACTTCAACTGCGGGTACTTTGGCTTAATTACAGTAGGGTATTTGGAATAATTAAGACAAGAAATGCATCAGTTTCTACAAAGCAAACATAAACACAATTGCTTCATTTCTGATTGTTCAGTTAAATTGCTTACTTTATTCCAGGCATGCTCTTCCACAGGTAACGCATGTTTACCATAGCCTTTAGTATCCCTATCAAATCCCTTCTGAATAATGATGAAGTAGATGTTGACCCAAGTATTACATTTCATTTTCTTTCCATGTTCCACACTTTAGTCCCCACTTAATCCTTTTCAGCATGCATTTGTACTGTATTTAGATGTGTACACACATCTAGTTTATACACATTTAGTTCTCTCTCTCACACACTGTATTTATTGATAATGATTTTAAAACCCTCTGTGAAACATGCAGAATCTGGCAATGCAGATATGGATTGGTAGAAGGTCATTTTTATTCAGCAGGGCGTTTTAACTAGTGCACTGCAGAAGCAACACCAAAAGGGCATTAAATACAAACTCTCCAATAAGGTTTGATGTTTCCTGAGGAAGTACAGACCCAAATGAAAGCCAGTACATTGATCATCAATAAAAAACCTTTTCAAATCCAAATTTTATGCTGGTATGTTTGCTTCTCCACCAGCCCCACCCTCACAAAACATGTCTGCATATATGACACCTCTGTCATATATTTTAGATTTTTCCCCCCTTCTAAAATACAGCTGGCCAGGATTATTCTATATGAGACAGGAAAAGCCAAAGGCCTGGTGGTAAGAATGTGGTCAGTGTGCCTGGTGGAATTTCAGTGGAGGAGTTGTAGTAGGAAGTGTAAGTGGGAGTTAAGTGAGGTTTCATGCTCCATCACCACTATGCCAACATATGATCTATAGGCAATCTGTGACTTCAGTAACCGAAATAACAGCATGCAAAGTCAAGTGGTCTGAACCATGAGAAACAGTTTTTTAAACCTCAGCAGCACACAGTTTTCATTTCTCAGGCCTGGGGAAATACCCTATTAATTCATTATGCTTGAGTTTAAAAGATATTTGGCTGGCGTATTTAGGACCAGATCTATATTTTGCTCTCTGCAAAGTCTGTTGCTGTGCCATGCTTTCTGATGTGGAGTGTGTGCTGTTGTCAGTTCAAGTTGTTTTGACAGTGTTATGAGCGAAACTATGAAATCACATAAATTCTGTGACGGCAGCAGGGGAAATTAACAAATGGGAGAAATGTTATTTCCAAAGACCTTGGTGTGTTTAATTCATATATTCTAATTTGCATTAACACACTGAGACTTGAGGGGCTGTTGGTCATGTTGGCTGGAGCTAAAGAGGTTTTTATGAGTTGCTGGGCTTTTCTCGTTGGTATTTAGATTGTTTTGTTTTGAAGATGTTGGTATTTTGTGATGGTTGTTTAATGGGTTTTATTGTACAGTATGTATATTTTATTGTTGTTGTGTGTTTTTCTTTAAAATTATTCAAAATTAAAACAAAACATATTATCCTAAAACATATCATCCTTATTTCCCCCCCATTTTTCCTCCCTTCCCCCACCCTCCCCCACAAAACCCACCCAGCCCCCCAGCTTCCCTCAGTTCCAGTCCTTGGTTTCTCCAATAATGCTGTTTTCTGCATGTTACAAAGTTGTATAGATCCTCAAACTATTTAGCTGATTATTATCAATAAAAAGTTTGTGAATGTTTATTCAAAGCCAGCCAAGGAGTCCAGTTCGCTTTGTTGCATCTTCAAATACTTCGTAAAGGGTTCCCATTCATCTTTAAAGTCACAGTTATCTTTGTCCCATAGCTTATATGTCAGTTTTGCCAGTTCTGCATAGTCCATCAATTTTTCTTGCCATGATTCTTTAGTTGGGGTTTCTTCCGTCTTCCATCCTTGTGCTATTAGAACTCTCACGGCCGTTGTCGCATACATGAAGATGTTTTTCAGCTTTTTTGGCAGATCTTTCCCTACAATCCCTAACAAAAATGCTTCAGGTTTTTAAACAAATGTTAAATGGAACATTTTCTTCAATTTTTTGTATATCATTTCCCAAAATTTTAAAATTACATTACAATCCCACCACATATGATAATGCATTAACACACTGATACTTGAGGGGCTGTTGGTCATGTTGGCTGGAGCTAAAGAGGTTTTTATGAGTCGCTGGGCTTTTCTCGTTGGTATTTAGATTGTTTTGTTTTGAAGATGTTGGTATTTTGTGATGGTTGTTTAATGGGTTTTATTGTACAGTATGTATATTTTATTGTTGTAAGAAGGTTTGAATATACATTCTGAAGAAAACGAGGGAAATTCATATTTGTCTATTTATGAGCTTAGGTGTTGCCATCTGTTCATCTGTCACTGGAGTACTCTATGCATCTGTGAAATTTTATACTGGTGTGTTTGCTACTCCACCATACCTATGAAACGCCACGGTCTGGAGAATATTAACATACTATATTAATGCTGTCTAGCCAACATTGTGTTTCATGGGAATCTGTAGAGT